TTGCTAATACTAAAATTTTGATAAGATATGTCCTCAATACCTAGTGATTCTAGGCCAATTTTTTTACCTTTTTCATGCATAAGCTGTTAATTCAAGTTGCACCTTTTTCTCTTCGTCAGTTATTAAGATGCTTCCACATTTGCTTAAAAGTTTGCTTTTTCTGATCCTTGACTAAGAAAATGCAGGTCTTGGGTTCTTCCTTTTTCATATTCCCCAAACTATTTAGCTACAAATTTGCTGGGTTTTTTTTTTTTTGCTCTATCCTGCTTATGGTCTTTATATTATATGCTTATGCTGTTACACTTTGGGCCATCATTTTCAAAGCACTGATTTCTACTTTTCATCAGCTGCATGTTTGAGCAAAATAAAATAACCTAACAGTGTTGTCCTATGGTACACAGTTGAATGGAGAAAATATTTTACTAATAAAAACAGTCTGAGGACAGTGAGAATATCTGATCTCTAGATGTTGTAGTTTGCCCACAACGTACCCCATGCATTGGCCACACTAGCTGGGGCTGATGGAAACTAAACTCCAAAAACAACTAGAGTGCCATATATGTTCTACTTCTGCACAGATAAAGGCTGTGGAAATCACAATCAAGTGTGATATTAAGAGAAGCTATTGCTCTAGAGCAGTGGTTCCCAACCTTTTCTATACCCCGCATCCCTAGAACGCTTCTGATATATTCTCGCACCCCATACAAAAGTTCGAAATAACAGCAATGAATTATGCATATACACTATAATTTTGAAAACCCAAGTTTTTGCACCCCCTGGAATATCATCTCGCACCCCTGGTTGGGAACCCCTGCTCTAGAGCTAACATATAATAGGCATTAAGAGAAGCCACTGTTCCTTCTATTCAGTCTATGAGGTTGAAAGGCATTTTCATTGTTTCTTTCCAAGTCTGTGTAATTACTTTTGCAACTTAAATATGGAATGAGATGAAAAAAAACTAAACCTGCAATCCTATGAACTCTTGTTTGGCTTAAACTCTAACCCCTTAATGAACAGTGAACTTTCATCTGAATAGATATGCATAAAGTCTTATTTCACATGAACTAAAAATGGTTATTTCCAGGCAAAATTATGCTATCCAGATTTTAAATCAATACTATACCTTGGAAGGAGTATATAAACATTGCCTTATTAAAAAGCCAACCCAAGAGCTAAATCTGATAATCCCATATGATCCCACTCTGCATTCAAACCTTCTCTAATCCTGGATCAGCTTTAGTGTCTGCTAAAGCAGAGTGAATTAAAAGGCAATTTTGCATGCCCAGGATATTCTTACCTTTATAGGTTTGGGAAAATGTGAGTCCTGATTCAACTAAAGACTTTAGCAAAAAAAAAAAAAAAAAGGGACACAAATAAATAAATTGCAGTACTTTTGCATGACAGTGGTCCACATGACAACTAAAGTGCTAATCAAGAAACTTACAGAATGGAAATCACAAGGTTAAAATCAACACATTTTTTCAACACATTTTTTTAAATATGTTTAGCCAACCCGTGTCATTGTAATCATTATTTCAGGGGAGCTTACATTCAAGCACAATATACACAAGCATAAAATAACAATTCCTACATTATGCCATTACAAATCAGCATACGTATTCCATATATCATCTAAAGCAGCATCACCATAAAACTTTTGGGGGGAAAATAACATAAAATAATGGTCTTCAAAGCCCATGGAAGTTTTAAATTGATGGGTTCACACATAGACATTCCAGATGAAATTGTGCTGTAGGGCAGATACATAATGAGGAGCCTATTTCTCATGTTCCAACCTGATTTCTCTCTCTCTCTCTAACACACACACACACACAAACACACACACCAGTACACCTGCCATCAGGGCCTCAAAAATTCTCCTGGAAGCATTGGCAAATTCATACAGCAGATGCGTGCACATACAGTGTCCCTCCCAAAGATCCAAATGCCTTTCTAGAGATGTGGGCTGGAAAACAAATGCTGCAGGCAAGTTTAGCAGTTTCAAAGTAGCACATTTGCCTTTCATTTTGTTCCAGAAAACTGACAAACAGCCATTTCAAAGGTTTCCTTACTGGCTTCAACAGGTAGGAGAGAGAAGAGGAAGCAGCTAATTGTAGAAAAATGATACAAGTATTTTTATCTATAGCCTCTACCTGTCCAGAGTGAATGATGATATCACAGAGAGGACATGAAGCCAAAGATGGCTTTTCAAGTATATTAGGTATGTGCATTGTCTTAATCTTGGCTTCTCCATAGTCATCCTTGATTATCTGCTGGAAAGCAATTTGTTTCAAGTTCTAGTTCCCATTTCAATTCCAGTCATAAATGCCTACGCTAAACATTCCTGATACATGGGTGGCATTTTTATGAAGAAGTCACTGAAATAAGAAGAAAACTGCCAAGCGCAAATACTGCAGCCAACTGTGCTATGAAGATGATAAGCTCAAATGCTTAAAAAGGCTACAGAAACTGAGACAAATTTGCTAATTCATACTTATTTGCACAGAAAAATGTGCCAGAAAATTCACATCTTTACTGCACACTATGTCCCTTTTACATGGCCTCTATTTACATGCATTTCCAACCTGAAATGGGAGCCTAAGTTTATCCCATTATTATCCCGTTCACATTTCACAAAATATGAGAAAAGAGAGGAAGGGAAGGGAAACAGAAGCAGAAATAAGCAGGAGAAAAATCTATCAGTGTTATCAGTTAGGCATACTTGACTTACCGGTAGTTGCAGTAACAGAGTAGAAGCTAAGGTGATTGGGGCAAAAATCCTCAGATGAAATGGTTAAATCATTACATAATCAAGAATAACAAAAAAAACTTTTTTAACTTAACCACAAATTCTGCTTCTCCAGAACTCAACAATCTCTTCTACAGTTCAACATTCCCTAACCAAGTGCCTTCCGAATATGTTGGAGTACCGTTCCCATCAACCTCAATCAAGACGACAATAAGTGGTTAGAGAAATTTGCTGCAACTCATCTGTATAGGAAAGATGTAAATATATGTACCCAAATAGTGATGTTAGTCTCCCTAAACTGCCTTTGGCAGATGACAAGAACAAGCAGATATTTAACAAAAGAAATGCTCTAAGCTAGAATGCAGTGGGACAGGCATATGGCAAGAAAAAGATGGAAATAAAGCTGAACAGTCACAAAAAAACTACATTACAGCAAGACCCAGTCACATGTATTTTTTGTAAACAGGACAGGCAACGGAGGATGCAAGGATCCTGAGTTTGTTACCCATGTATATTTTCTGTTCATGCATTTTAGGCTCACTGAAAGTAAGTCACAAAGCGAATTGCCATCTGTACACATTTCAGTAAAAATATAGATGCAACCCAGTGTTTGCCTTGTAAATGTGGCCTGTCACCAAAGATAATATCTTAGTGTTTGAGAGTATTCTGGCAGAGAAGACTACAACGAGAGAGAGAGAGAATGGCAAGTCTTCTGGTATGTGTGTGTGAATGCATCATGGCATTTTTTTTGTTTGAGCACTCTTGGTATGTCAAATATGTTCAGTGTGCCAAAAAGAATGGGGATTCCCAATGTGCATTATCTGGATTACTGGGATCTGTAAATCAATCCAAATTAAAGAACACAACTACCCATATCAACTGCTATCCAAATTGACAGTTGGATAGTATTTTTATTGAAAACTATCCCCCAAAGCACACAACCTTTCAAGTTTTCCAAAGCTCTTCATCAAGCAAAGAATCAAAAAGTTGGAGATTATTGAGATGTCTTAAATTTAGGCCATAGTTTGTGGCCATGAAGTCTGTTTTTGAATTCAGATTAAAAGAATCTGGCAGCTGTACACACATCTTGAAGCAAAATGGTAAATTTCATGAAGCATGTTGTATAGGTAGTCCTCGACTTACAAGTTCATTTAGTGACCGTTCAAAGTTACAACAGCACTGAAAAAGTGATTTATGACCATTTTTCACACTTACGACCCTTGCAGCATGCCTATGATCATGTGATCAAAATTCAGATGCTTGGCAACTGACTCACATTTATGACCGTTGCAGTGTCCTGGGGTTCTGTGATCACCTTTTACGACTTTCTGGCAAGCAAAGTCAATGGGAAAGCCAGACTCTTAACAATTGTGTTACTAATTTAACAACTGCAGTGATTCACTTAGCAACTGTGGTAAGAAAGGTCATAAAATGGGGCCAAATTCATTTAACAAATGTCTCACATAGCAACAAAACGTGACTCAGTTGTGGTCGTAAGTCAAGGACTACCTGTACTGTGTTTTTACTAGAAAGTGTGTCTCAATATACTTTTTAAAATAAAAGGAACCCCACTGAAATGTGAGGGCATACACTAGTTTCAAAACAACTTTTGTCTCTGCAATACCAAAAATATAGTTTCGATTTTAGCTTCTGTTACTGAATCCCTATTGTAATACATCACGTGAACTTTTTTTTTTTTTACTTTTGGCATTGCAGTATTCAGACTTTCCAAAACTGACTCCATGTTAATAGCAGCAGATCACTAGAGTTTTAGCACGAACTGAGAATAATCCCCGCACAAGACCCTGGGAATTAATGGATCCATCACGCGGGGACTGGCTTGCTCACCTGCCTCAATGGCAGAACGTTTCTTCGCTGGATTTAATTTAATTTAACTTGAGTTAAACAGGTTCCCAAAATCTGTAGTTTTAGCCATACACTCCAGCAGTGGAACTGAGACTCTCTGAACTGAGTGTACTCCCCTTTATTAGGAAAAGGGAAGTAACTCTGCCTCTCAGCCCTCTCTACCACGAGCGAGGTGCTCTCCGGATCGAGCAACAGCTAACAGCCTCCTGCAACAGCAGGCACGAGACCCATTAAGGCTCTCCTGCGCTTCCATCCTTGCCCGCGAAGCCGAGAATCCGGCGACGCTCTATCTTCCGCAGACCGCGTGTCTATGATAAAGCCTTACTAAATCATCCAAAGCCCACATCCGCCCTCCCGCCTGCTTTGTACGGCTGAGGGAGGGAAGATGGCGGCGCGGGCGGGTTTCCAGTCTGTAGCTCCGAGCGGTGGCGGCAGTGGAGCCGGCCCTGGGGCGGGACCGCTAGGACCAGGGACGGCCGGGCCTCCCGTGCGGATGGGCCCGGCTCCCGGACAAGGAATGTACCGCTCCCCTCTGCCCGGCGCTGCATACCCGGTACCGGTCCGGCCCGGCTGAAAAAGGGGCGGTCCTTAGTGTGGGGCGGAGCTCTAAGGCCAGGCGTGAGCGCGAGATGCTGCTCTGCTACTGAGGGGGCTGGTGGTGGTCGAGGGTGGGGTGGGGGGGGAGGCGGCTCAGCTGCAGTGGGCGGGGCTCGGAGGGGAAGAGGAGGATGAGAGCCATTCCAGGAAGATGGAGGACGGGAGGCGGCTGCTGAAAGGGGGATCCGCGGCATAAACAAAAAAAAATACAAATAGTGGGACTATGGGGGTGAGGCTGCAAGGGCAGGATGCGAGGAGAGAGCTAGGGGGGCTGTGGGCGTCGGGAGGAACAGTCTAGCTTTGTTGCTGGGCGGGAGAAAAGAAAAGAAGGAGAGAATGGACCTAGAGGAGTGGGGGCGGGGAAGACATTGTGTGGCTCTGGGTTAATGGTGGACGAATACGCCTTGGTTTTGCTATTGCATATTATTGCTTCCCGTTCAAACATCAGAAATAATATATTGAGAAACGGGAGTAAAACTGCCTATCTCATGAAAGATCCAAATTCGAGAGAAAAAAAAATCAGAATGTGATGGCAAATTGAATATTAGATATTAGATTAGATAACCTTTATTGTCATTTTTTACTGTGGGCAAGCAACTAAATTTCATATTTTTAATGTGTGCTGTACACATTAAAAATGAAATTTAGTTGCTTGCTCTCAAAGGGTAATAATAACACTTTTCCTGAATTATATACTCCTGTAAGCAGGAGTTGCACGCCTATGTGCTTCCCAAATAAGAAAGGGGATTTTATATATTTTTTTCCCCCCATCAAGCATTACTTATCGGCAGGTGGAAATACTGGATCTTCTATGAGATGTTTTTAAAAAGAAAATTATTTCAGGGTTCTTTTCAAAGGTGCAAGCAATTCCTGCTGCTGAATTGGTGCACTCTAAAAGCAGTGATGCGACTTGATTCTGTTGCAGCTGAGAACAAAAATCGACAGTAGAGTTCTTAGGCAGGGCAACAATCAGTTTGTTTCTTTTCCTAGCGCCCTGGAATGTTGCCTGGTAGCCGCATGACTCCTCAAGGACCTGCAATGGGACCTCCAGGTTATGGCGGGAGCCCTTCTGTCCGACCTGGGATGGCTCAGTCAGGAATGGACCAGTCTCGTAAAAGGCCAGCTCCTCAGCAGATTCAGCAGGTTCAGCAACAATCAGTACAAAACCGGAATCACAAGTAAGAGATTCCTCTTTTCTTTTATAGGCATCCTAGCATTCAGCAATGTAAATGCTCTGTTTTAAGCCAGAAAGTTTTACACTGGTACCTTGGTACTCAACTGATTTGGAACTCATAAAATTTGTTACTCAATGCATTTTGATGCAAAAAATTTATTCGGGTACTCATTGTTTGTTTGGTACACAACTCACAAGCTAGAACTTGTCAATATTGGCTGCCTTGTGACTCAATACATTATTCCTTATGTGAAAAATTTGTGTGGTACCAAACGTTTTTGGTACTCATCGTGCTTCCCAGAACCAATTAATGATGAGTACCAAAGTACCACTCCTTTGAGATATCATCCTGTGTATTGATTTCTGCAAATAGTTCATTCAAAATTAGAGGATGCACCTCATAAAGACAACTTAAATGAGAAATGCAGTGTATAAAAAGAGAGGTTTCAGCTGCATCCATACTGACAGACATGTTTATGCAGTCTTCCAGCAACGCTCTTTTCATTAAGCTGAAGAAGCTAGAAACAAAATTTAATTAAATCTAAGTATCAATATATTGATATAATTCCTTTCCCTATTCATCCTGAACAACTCATCCATTCATACTGTAATTCCTCAGCATTTGCTTAGGTATTTGCACAGAGCACTTTCTGTTTTTCATGTGGTTTGTACAGATGGACTGCATTGTGTTACTTATTTTGAGATCCAAAATAACAGAGTCATCTGTTAGTGTTTTCGGTCACTCACAGATCTTGGTGTGTTGAAGACATACGTTAAGCCTCTGCACCATACAGATGTAGAATGATTTCCCCTATTAACATAAAATCCAAATTCTGCATTCTGCATTTCTTAAAAGAGTCTGTCCCACTGAAATCAGTGGAGCTTTTTTCTGGGTTGGTATGCTTAGGGTTACACTCTGGTTCCTAATATTGACTTCTTCAAGAAAGCTTTCCCCAATATGGCTAAAAAAGAAAAAATACAATCCCAAATACATCTGTTTTCCTATGTGCCTAAAAACAATCTTAGTTTCAGTAGAATTTTTCTTTGATACAAAATCAACAATGATGTTCTTAAACATGTATCAAGAATTAAATTTATCATCCAATGTTTCTGTCTTTGTGCAGTGCCAAGAAAAAAAAGATGGCAGACAAAATTCTACCTCAGCGGGTAAGTGAAACGTTGGGTCTTGTTTGGCAGTTACCGGTAGCAACGGCTGTGCTGATTGACTCTGGCTGCATTGAATTCTAGATCCGGGAATTAGTACCCGAGTCTCAGGCATACATGGATTTGTTGGCATTTGAGAGGAAGCTGGACCAGACTATTATGCGGAAACGGTTGGATATTCAGGAGGCTTTGAAAAGGCCAATTAAGGTAAGGAGGAAGGGTGGATAAGTTTGAAACTCACTTATCTGTAGGAAAGGATTTTTTTGATTTAGATGACCGATGTAAGTATGTAGTAGGATCGTGGTAACCGATCCAAAGTTGAATAACTAACTTACTTGGTGTTATGAACCGAAGTAATACTTTACAAGACTTAGATTTTTCCTAAGATTTATACCGCGTTGTATGAAGGTCTTATGAGGTTTGTCAGGGTAAAATTATCGACCCCTAACCAATGTTGCATGACAAGAATTTTTTACACATCCCTAGTTTACATAATATACCTAAGATATAACCTTACAGCGCACAAATGTGGATTCATCATACCAAGATCCACAAATCACATTATGATTTGCATGGTATGTGAACAAGGGGCACATGCATAGTGAAGGCAGGGTGGTGACAGTGATGGGGCCCTGCACTCCATTTATCCCAGGCCTTCAGTCTTTAAAAAAAAGTATATAATCACAAGAAGCCAATAGTCATAGTGAGAAGTGCTGCAGGGGGAAAGTGGGAGTGAGAAGCTATCCCATCTGAGGCAGCTGTGGCCTCGGTCAGCACCACTGCCACCTCCACTACCTATCCTCTGTTGGGGAAGGGATTCTCCATGTTGACAGTGCTGAGAGGGTACCCATGCATCACTCAGGCTCTGGGCTCTGATAGCAGAAAGAAACATCTGGGAGATACTGCCTTCTTTTCTCCCACCCACTGCAGGGCCCCACTGAAGTAGTTTGTCTTATGGCCCAGGGAGCTTTATTATTCTACCAGTATGAAGCTTGCTGCTTTGGAGGCCCAGTGATAGAATATGTCAAGATTCTTCATTATTCTCCAGCATAATCTGTATCTGCAAAAATAGCAAGCAGTAATCAGTTAGGTTTCACAAAACAGGCAGAAAAATGTGTAGCAGCTTTTAGGCTTCCTCTGACTCAGTTGCTTCTACTGAATAGGTTGTGGCTGCTACAAACACAAGGTGCATAGGTCTCCGATACGTTAATTTTACTAAACTATTTTCTGATGCATTCATAGCTTTTCTTATCAGTTTTCTGAATTACTTCCTCTCTTAGCCTTTTATTATCTAATATCCTTTTCCCTTACCCCCCCCCCCCAGTAGTTTTCTCTTATATCTGGGCAATTGGCAGCCTTAAGATCACCTGCAGCCCTTAGTTTTACTCAAAAGACTATTGGAAGCAATTATTTCAGACCTCTGACAAGAGTGAGCTATCCTTCTTCAACCTGCCTTGTGGGCAGTTAGGAAGCAAAGCAAAGCAAAAAGAAGGAACCACATGCACATGCACACAAACACACACACATCCCTCTGTGGTTTACAGCCCATCTGTTATTAGCATACGGTCCCTGACTGATGGCCTGCAAACGCCTTCTTACTTTTGATCTGCAGAGTAGTGTCTTTAACTTCTTGACCCAAGGTTAGTGATTTCTGTTATTGTCCTAGGCATTGTTTCTCTAGAGCAGACATGTCAAACTCGTGACGTCACGTGACGTATCGGAACTTTCCCCCCATTGCCAGCAATGGGGTGGGCGCGGTTTCCTCATGATGCGCCCGGCCTGCAGGCTGGCAGTTTGACACCCCTGCTCTAGAGCTTCTTCCTGGACACTTTCATGTTGTAGAAATGCCTTAGATATGTATCTTGCTCAGATGCAGAGATTTGTGAGAATAGAAATACTGCTATTTGGGAGAGTGAGGGAATAATAGTAGCAGAGACTTTACAACTAAGAGCAAAAGTGTAGATACCCTAAGACAAGGAAAAATCGTTTTTTCTTTTGACGCGTAAAAATAGAGGTTGTGGAAATTAGGTCGGTTCAGTCTACGTCTTCTACCTCTTCCGTGGCATCGGAGTACCCTTGAAGCTCACCTTCCTGCTAATAACCTTCTACACTCACTCCTTACCTTAATTGTGCACCACATATTCCTGTACAGAGTTTAGAAATGTGGCAGAGTTGAATCATTCACTCCTGATGGTCTTGGAACTAGATAAGATGGAGAGAGAGCGGTACAGGCTTTAGTTTAGGCAAGAGTAAAAGCATGGCCAAAGAAGCATTTTTGCACAAATTGTCATATAATTTTCTGAAATGAGCAATTCCACAGATTCAATCTCTCTGCAGTAAAGGTGCTCTTTGCTTTATACACATTGTTCTCCTGATCGGAGCTTCATTGTAGTAGAGAGATTAGATGTAAGAGCTTTCCCAGGCACTACTCTTAAACGCTATTGCTTAGTGTAGTTTTGGATGTCCTGATCCTTCTTCACTTCAGAAAGCCCCCACATTTTGAAGTTTGGAGATTGATAAAAAAGTGAAGGATTTCTAATTTTTTGAAATATGGTAAGATGTAAGAAATCTTAGCTGGTCCTACATTATTGTAGAAAGGGTCTATGGCAGGGGAACCTGGGTATATAAGATGTTAGAAATATATGCAAAATGATGATCAGTGTTAGATATAATGTTATATATTCCCTTTCCCCTTGAGAAAAATCACTGTGATAGTTCACGGTTTTACTTTCTGTGTTTCAGTGCTGTTGGTAACTGATGTTGGCTATTGTTATCTATAAAAGGATTTTTTTCCCCCTTTTTTCCTCCTGCAGTCTGCTCTCTCCAAGTATGATGCTACCAAGCAGAAGAGAAAGTTCTCATCCTTCTTTAAATCTCTGGTGATTGAGCTGGACAAAGACCTCTATGGCCCAGATAATCACTTGGTGGAGGTGAGAGGTTTCATCTATAGCAGAGTTGTGTGGTTTTTCCTGCCCCCAGATATTCTGACAGAAAAATGTCAGACAAAACTAATTTTTAATGTTTTCAGGTTTAATAGTTTGGTAGCATCTTTCGGGGTTCTTAGGGAGGGGCAAAATTTAGGGAGCTGCGTGCTGGATTTGGCTTCAAGTTGTGCACTTCTCATACAGAGCACAGAATGTCACCTGTAAAAAAGTCCATTTATGTTTATGCAGACCTTCCAACATCCTTTTATTTTTATGTTCTCCCTTTGAAGAGGCTCAAGGCGATATACGGGATATCAGCTTCCTCTCTTTCCTGAGTGCTTTTCCTCATAGGCTTCCATGTTTACGTATTCCAAAGTTTTATTTCACGGATCGGAATCCATCCCCTATGCAGGATTGGTTTCTCCCATGTTTTGTTTTCTCACGGAACGCCTACTTCTGTCCTTACTCCCCCTTCTTGTGCTCTTTCCCTCCTACTAGTGGCACAGGACTGCTACAACCCAAGAGACTGATGGGTTCCAGGTGAAAAGGCCTGGTGATGTGAATGTGCGCTGCACTGTCCTCCTGATGTTGGACTACCAGGTAGGTGGCATTCATCCCGAGGGGAGGAATTTTTCTCCATGCCCACTGGATTCAGATTGTACCTCAAGTCAAAATCTTTATTAAAGTCGTAGATCTGCATAAGGAGGGTGGGATATAAACAATATTTTTTTAAAAAAAAACTAAAAAAAAATAAAATTACACAAAATTTAAAAAAAACAAATACATTTTAAAAGTGTGTATATAAAACAAAAGACTAAAAAAAATAACAGCGAGAGGCAAAAATGTTAGATAAGTACAAGAAAACATAAAAGTTAATATATGGCTAACTACATCTCCTACAATACAAAACATTCTTAACTCACACTTTAAATACTAAGGCTAGTTACCTTCTCCCCCCCGCCCCCCAAAGAAAATATTTAAATGTTTATTCTTGCTCTTTTGAGTTTGTATTGTCTCTTTGCAGCCTCCACAGTTCAAACTAGACCCACGTTTGGCTCGTCTCTTGGGAATCCACACCCAGACTCGCCCAGTGATCATCCAAGCCCTGTGGCAATATATCAAGACTCACAAGCTGCAGGACCCCCATGAACGGGAGTATGTCATCTGTGATAAGTACCTCCAGCAGGTAAAAAGAAGGGCACAGACCCCCCAACCCTTGCTGGCGTGCTGAAGCTTGGCTCTTTCTAAGTGAATTCCTCTTTGAACATACAGATCTTCGAGTCTCAGCGAATGAAGTTCTCGGAGATCCCACAGCGGCTTCACGCGTTACTTATGCCTCCCGAGCCAATTATTATTAACCATGTCATCAGGTAAGGTACTTGATGTGAGGTCTTAGGGCTGAACCACGAACTCATGAAATATTCTTTCAGCTCTGCTGAATATTGTACCGTGCAAACACAACTGTTCCAGTGCGTGCTTCCTATTTTCAATATTACTTCCTGCTGTTGAGTTATATCACAGACTAGAATTTTAAAGTGTGTTTCATTTTAGTGTTTCCAAAACAGTTATGTAGCAGCAGAATTGGGGAGGGGGGGGAAACCCTATTCAAATGTTGCCAGAAATTGTAACATTCTGGATCACTTTAAGAAAGGGAAGGAGCGACAGTAAGGCAATATCTGGCCAAACATTTGGCCCTGGACAGAGAGAGGTTTTGAAAGCAGTGAAGAATGTATCAAAAATTGAAACCTCTACATTAAGAAAAATTAGACCATTGCCTCACATGCTCTGTGTTTGGGGGGGGGGGAGGATGTTTTGTTGAACCAAGCTCTGACTCTAGCATTTTCTTTCTTGTCTTGCTTCCCAGTGTCGATCCAAACGACCAGAAGAAAACTGCTTGCTATGACATTGATGTAGAAGTGGATGATACTTTGAAAACCCAAATGAATTCTTTCCTGCTTTCCACAGCTAGCCAGCAGGAGATAGCTGCACTGGATAACAAGGTGCGCGTTCTTGGAAACAGGTTTTTGGTAATGTCTGTGTGTGGGATGTCTGAGCAGTAACACTTCCTCTCCCCCAGACAGACTTCATTATGTGGTTAGACGTTAAAGTAGCAAATAGTACCAAGGTTTGGTTAAAATGTCCAGTAATTTACCCAAAGAATCAAGAATAGACCTTTGTGAATTTTGGTTTAGTTTGGTTGTAGTTTTTCTTTCCCTTCTTATAATAAGAGGTTTGGCCCTATATGGGTCTATTCAGAGTACATCTGTTGCCTTCGGTGGACTTTGCCTCCAAGCGAAGTATATAGCAGAGATTGGCATCTTTTTTCAGACAGCAGTAAGAACATAGGATTTTTAAAATTATTTTCTCAGTGTAGCCTGTGAAAGTTGGATCGTTAACTTTTAGCTATGTATATTGTAAATGTTAATATTAAAAGCTGATAGATGTATGGCTGCCAGAAGATTCAAATGCTACTGGGAAGATGTCTTCTTTTTTCACAGTTTTGTAGCGGACTTACAGATTAAGGTCGGTTTCTCTGGTTCCAGGCTGGCAGTGAGCTTTTTGTTGCCTCTGGGAAGATTGCCCGGTGACGGGTGTTGAAAGATTAAATGAAGCAGATTCCTAGCTGTAGGATTCTGACTCCAGGCAACAGTTGAAACATCCACTCCTTTATCCAGAACAGAAAGAGCTTACAAGAAAGGGAGAATGTGACATATTTGGGTTGACTCTATAGTCATAAAGCTCTTTTTTCTTAACCTGAATATCCCCCGGATTAAAATTCTGTTGCGTAAACTGTGAACAGGTCTCACTGTTAATATAGGACAATTGCCTTGTATAGATGAATAAAATCATGGCTCTCGTATCATTCCACTTCTGGGCAATAGTTTTAAGCATTCAAGGTTCTTTGGTTATGAAACGGAAACCATATATTTTTGATAATGTGTATTCTTTTACTGATCATGAAAACAATGCCACGAGTTGGGTATTAAAGTTATTTTGCTCTTGAAGCCATAAAACTAAAGAACAGTAGGGCCTAATGGTTGCATTGATACAAGGAAGGGAAGAAGGTTGTAACTAAAGAGGCTGGTTGACTCCAGGTCAGGAGTTACAGTCTAACCATAGAGGTTTGTATCTCTGAAGTAGATGTACTTTGATTTGTAAAAAGTGCAAGAGAGTAAATAAAGGGGAAGGACCTGGGAGGTATTGTAGTCTTACCCCATGTGCATTTCCAAAACCAACTATATAAACCAGTGCCTGCACCCAGTAACCCACTTCAGTAGAGTACAGTATAACCCAGTGGTAGCGAACCTATGGCACGCGTGCCAGAGGCGGCACTCGGAGCCCTCTCTGTGGGCACGCACGCCATCACCCCAGCCCCGCCTCCCCCCGCGGCCCCCTCCTCACCAGCAGCCCCCCTGGAGGAGAGTTGCCCCCAGGCGTGGCCCGCATGGAGCAGCATAGCCAAGGACATAGCCGGGCAGCAGGGACAAGACTCCGCCTTTGTGCCCCATAGCATGCAGATGATGCTGCTGGGTGTGGGCGGAGGGCATGGCTGCCATGACGTTGCAGGGCTGCCTGGGCGATCTGCCGCGGGCCATGGAGGCGGGGCGGGGCCCCGTGGGCGGGCGGGGCAGGGGGCGAGCGGGGGCGGAGCAGGCAGGGCAGGAGGCAGAGCAGGGGCCGGGGGCGGTTTTTGGGCACTCGGTCTCTAAAAGGTTCGCCATCACTGATATAACCCCATTATTTTTTCAATGTATTTGTGTGGTATTTTTTTCATCTCAGATCCATGAGACCATAGAAACCATTAACCAGTTAAAGACCCAGCGTGAATTTATGCTGAGCTTTGCCAGAGATCCCCAGGGCTTCATCAATGACTGGCTGCAGTCCCAGTGTCGAGACCTGAAGGTGAGAGCCCTTTGAGGAGAATACAGACATGGGGGGCAGGGAGAGGGAGAACACTTGCTGTGTCTTCCTTTTCAAAAAAATAATAATAATAACCTGCCAGAGGGATAGAGCTGAGAGCCAAGACGGGTATTTCAGGGAGAGCAAGATGAGTAATTGGAGACTTTGCTCACCTTCAGGCTATGACGGATGTTGTTGGGAACCCAGAAGAAGAGCGCCGAGCTGAATTTTACTTCCAGCCTTGGGCCCAAGAGGCTGTATGCAGATATTTCTACTCTAAGGTAAAATGGATCCATCCAATGGGATCTCTTTTAAATGGGATTTCTGGAATGGGACCCCAACAGCTTGTTCGGGATCTTTCAGCCCTGCTGTCTGGTGGGCAGATGTCCTTTTTCTGCTTCTGCAAACTGCATAGCAAATGGGAGTCGAAAGAGTTGAAAAGTACTCCTTCCTGCTCCTAACCCGTGCTGCTCAGACTAAAGCAGGCTTCCAAATGTGTGGTCCTGCATTACTAATCCTTGGCTGTGTGGGCTGTGAACAGTGGGGGCGATTGCCATAAATACGGAAAGTGCTGGGTTGCAAGTTGGGAAAAGCTTGACTTGAGCTTCTGGCTTGGAGCCCTAATGCGTGTTCCCGATGCTTGAAAATACCAGAGGCGGTTCTGTTCTTTTTCGACCTGTGCATAAAGATAGTCTTGTCTTGCTTCTTTCACAGGTTCAGCAGAGAAGGCAAGAACTTGAACAAGCTCTGGGAATCCGCAATACCTAAGCGGGCAGGCCTCCCAACAGGCAGCATCTCTAACGGCTAGAAACACTGCAGGGATTCACTGCTCAGGCCTATACAATTCCTATTCCAGCACAGATCCTTCCACTAATTTCCAACCGACATCTTTTCTTTCCGCTGATCCAATGGGCTCATCATTGGGGATGGGGGATGTTGGTTACCCAGGCCAAGGTCTTGCATTTCAGCCTGGCTCTCCTTTCTTTTGAGCCCCACACTCCCCAGGTCCGGCTCTGCCTGAAGTTCTTCCACACTTGAGACAGCTTCCATTCAGAGCCAAGTATGCCAGCCCGGGAAACTCTCCCTCTCCCCCCCCCCCCCCCCCCCCCCCCCCCCCCCGCCCCCAGAACAGTCGGCTGGGCAGTTGCTGTGCAGGGCAGGGCCCAAACTGGAAGCAGGTTTCTTAACACTTTCTAGCCTCTCCTGGGGACAGGCAGATGGGAAGTCCAATACAGATCCACCTTTTGGGAAGGAATGGACTCTCCCTGTGTGTGGCCTTCAGGGGGCTGCAATCCAGGACCACAACCTTTGTTTCAGCGTGGGTGTTTTATTAAAGGGGAGGTAATTAGTGGCAGAGGTGCCAGGTAGTCCTAGGCCACCTTCTTGGTCACAGTTGAATATCCCAAGTCACTGCCTTCTGGGGGAAGAAAGCCTCTCTAACCCAATTCCTATCTCTTCTTCTACCCTCCACCCCTACTCCCCAGCACTAATTCTTTGTATCTACAGTGCTTGGTAGAAGATTGTTCCCTTCAGACTAGAGCTATTCTCCTTTTGACTTCCTCGCCTGACTGCACAGAGCGGGTTTCTGGGGCGAACTGAAAGGTGGGGAGCGGAGTTATGCAAGCAGGTGTAACCGAGGCACAGCGGAGCAGATGTCGGTGTGCAAAAAAGGACACTTCCTTTCTAGTCTGTGTTTTCTTAAGTCTTGGGCACCTATTGGTAGGACTGGGTGGGGATGCTGTTGCATCCTTCCGCTGGCTGATTTTGGAAACTGTAATGCAGCTGGACAGGTCCCAGCTGTTTCTATTCTGACACTTATCTGCAAGAATCAAGTTACTGACAAGCCCCCGTCCTCCTCCATGTCCAGAATGAAGCTCTAGGGACTGCTCTGAATCCAGGAGCCCTAGTGGCGTGTGTGTGCGCGCTCATATGTCCCACCTTCAGAGCGAGAGATTCTGACTCTTCAAACTTGTATTTGCCATACGAAAGGCACCTGGCCCTTTTGCCCCTCCTTGCTTTGTGACCCTGGGGGATTAGAACCCTGGTTTCTTAGGTGGTTCTCACTGGTTCTCAGGGCAAGCATATGTGAACTAAACTCTTGAGATCAGCTGTCTTTGCAGACTTCTTAAATTGCTCCTTATGCTTTGCATTCTGTGGTTTTCTCTTCTTCCCCCTTGGACCAATTTTTTTTGTACTGTATCCTTTTAGATGTTGCCCCATTTTAATAAAAGCTGCCTCTGAATGAAAGCGCTCTCTCTCTCTCCGTCCTTTTGTAATAGAGCATTTTTTTTCTTTATACTTTCAATAGGAAACTATGTTATCGTGACAAAATAACCTCTTTTTTTAATCCTTCAGACTTTATATTGATGGCCAAAAAGGCTAGATGGAGGAAAGCTCTTTCATTGGCTTGAAGGGAAAAAGTTTGGGATAGTGTTAAGAAAACTCTGCCTCTGTGTGCCTGCTTAAGCAATTTTGGAGGGTGTGTGCAATAGTGAGAGATAACCAGTATAAGAATGAGCAACCTTTTGGTACCTGGGATCACAGTTAATATTGAGGAGAGAGTAAAGCAGCCAGAGTTAACTTTAATTTACATGCAGTAGGGTTGGGGTTTGTTTTTTTTCTGGGGTTCGGAGGAGTGGGGTCTTTTATTTTGAAAATACTTTGTGCTATATTAGGACTTATACTTCTGATTTTGTATAATGCTTGCTCCACTAAAATTTGGTAATGTGAAAAGGGGTGCCTGGGTTTTTCAAGGAAAGGGATGGAAGAGCCAACTTTTCCTTACATCAACATAGTCAAAAATTGATTTAATCATAACATACATACCAGTGGTGGCGAACCTATGGCACGGGTGCCAGAGGCAGCACTCAGCCCTCTCTGTAGGCACGTGCGCCGTCGCCCCAGTCCTCGGCCTTCAGCTGGGTTTTATAAAACCTTTTCGCTTTAGGCCTCCGCCGCCACGTGCAAAAAAAAAAAGGTTTAATCAATCAGTCAATTTCAACTTCTTGCGGGGAAAAAAAAAGATCTTGCAAAGTTGGAATTGATTGATTGAACTTTTTAGTCCCACCCAGTCTGCCATTACCACCGCAGCCACACCCACCCGGCACTCGATGATGCATAAGTGGGTTTGGGGTTGCAGTTTGGGCACTCAGTCTCTAAAAGGTTCGCCATCACTACTATACCAGTCTTTTCACAAGAGCAAAAAAGAAACAGATCTTTATTTCAGGGAACTTACGAGCTAAATTTCAGAAGAAGCAGATAAGGTGCAGAGGAAAAAGTGTGTTTGTTCTTTTTATAGTCAGTTACAATAAACCCAGCTGTATGAAATTTGCCACTGAAAATGAGACCAAGCAGGAAAAATTTTAAAAAAAAAAAAGCTATTGGCAACTTTTGAGCAGTAAGAGAATCTGGGTTGGAGCCAGGGAAGAGTGAGTATTAAATACAACCCTCAACCATTTCTGTCAGTCATTTTTATAGCAAAATGGGATCTTTTTAGATACAGGTAGTCCTCAACTTTATTTAGTGACGGTTCAACTTATAATGGCATTGAAAATTTTTTTCGCACGACTGCTGTAGCATTCCAATGGTCACAATCAAAATTCAGATGTTTGGCAACTCACTCATTGCGGTGTCTGGGGTCATGGGATCACCTTTTGCAATCTTCTGACAAGCAAAATCAATGGGGAAACCAGTTTCATTTAATAACTGTTACTAATTTACCAAAGGTAGTGATTCACTTAACAAATATGGCAAGAAAAGTCTAAAATGGGGCAAAACTCACTTAACAAATGTTTCACTTAGCAACAGAAATTCTGAGTTCAATTGTGGTCATAAGTTGAGGACCACCTTTACTCCAAATGTTGATCTGTATGTGCACCAGAACCAAGGAAGAGAGGCGATAGAATGGCATGGAATTTCCCATTTCAGACAGTAACTGGAAAAGTTACATTTTTAAACAATCTCTGTTTAAAATGCCCATCAAATAAACAATTATTTCCACAAATCATATTTCTCTCAAGGTGCGTGTCCTATGATCCCAGGGCTTTGCAGTAATCTAATTTGCCTGTATATAGTTAAGCCTGGGTGTGCCACAGAAACGGATGAGAAACAAGAAGGAATAAGCAAGTTGCATCCTGAAAAAGCCTCGGAGCAACAAAAACAGAAGTTGATATGTTAATCTTGTAAATAAAAAATTCCAATGTGTTGCATGGTGTGCTACTAATCAGTTTGAAATCATGTGGCAATCAGGAATGCATGGTTTGTAATTTCCTCTCTTGTTTGGGTTTTGGTGCCACAGAGATGCAGAACATGAGTAGTGAAAACCAGAAACCAGCCTAACAACTTTGCTCACTTGTGGGACTTCAATAAACTATGGCCTACTGTGATGTTTGGCAATTGCTGAAGCCATTAATCCTAGACAACCCTGCAAAAATCTAGATAGCAGTAAAGAATTTTGAGTTTCCCCTTCCTCAATGCTACCATGTAGCATAGCTGTAGCCTGGATTTTTGTAACATGCCTGGTTTACACTGCTTTGATTAGTGGTTAAAGACACCAGGCTGGAAAGTAGGACACTGTGTGTTCTAATCTTCCTTAGTACAAGGTCTAAGTGTGGGTGACCTTGGGCCATCTGTATCGGCAAAGGGGTAGCTACTACATTGAGTAAAAAGGAAGGAGGCAAGGGAGAAATACTTCCAAACTTGTCAAGACAATTGCAGGAACGTTTCCATGTAGGCACCAGGAATCAAAACTTACTCAAAAGCACAACTCCCACCCCACACCCCATTTTATTAAGATCAGGTTGTAACTAAGGGAGGTTGTTGCCCCAGATAAGAGAACATGACACTCGGACACATACACACATTCCCTAGTAGTGGTAGTGCTGCTTCCCACTGACTCTGCCAGGAGACAATTAACTTGCAACCCTATAAGCATCACCCTGCAGGTGGGCTCAGAATCAGGCACTGTAAGGTGACCATGGAAACTGCCTGGGCAGCCAAGGCACTGTAGCCATGTCAGCACATCACTGGGGGATCCTTCAAAATGATATTGTCTCCTGGGAGCTGCACATCTTTAGTGGAGCAGAGCCTGTTTCTTTTCTGTTGTGTTAATAGTAAGGGCCAATCCAATCCTCTTATTAGTATTTCTCCAGAGCAGTTAACTTTGGCCCAAAATCTAGACCAAACTAAACTACTGCTTTCTTTTTATCTTGAAGGAATGTTTACAGGTTTTTCCTCCTAAGGTACTGCTTCCCAAACCAGGGCAAATTACCCAAAATTTAGCAAATGGGTTTTTTTTCCCCTTCTGGATAACGACACGCAAACCCATTACCCAAACATAACAGGGACATTTAAAGTGACTTAAAGGGTTTTAGCTACATTGAGTAAAAAGGACTTTCTGATGAGTGACTGGATAATGAAGGGAAAAGTTTAGGAAACACTGCCCTATGGATTCTTTTTCATAATATTTCCAACTTATATCGTCATTAACTGAGTAGGACCATCAGTCTCAATCCTGTCTCTCTCAAAAATGGTTTCTAAGCACCAGATCATCCGTGTAGCCACCTAAACCCTGGCTGATGCTTCTTTTAATTTTGCAAAGCAGATGGCCAACTGGCAATGCTGTCCTTTGTTGGCTTATTTAGAAGCATGCTCCACTGAGTCCTTAGTAGGTGTACATAAGATTGCAGCTTGATGGACTTTTGTGCTCTGTATAGAACAGATTTACTGGCTGCACAGCATGTGAATTATTATTTTTTTTAAATCCATTAAACTACCATGGCCAGAAAGGCAGAGTCCAGAGTGTAATTTTGTAGCTGGCAAGCTGCCAAAACCATGGGCCTCTATATGCTATTTTCAAATGTCATTTCAGACAGGAATTTATGGTTATGGCCCTGGTAAGGAGTTATCTTTCTCATGTGGAAAATAATCTTGATCTGTGCCACTGAACTGAATTTTTTTTTTCCAACACAATTACTCAGGATAGAGCCTCTCTTTACATGGGAAACTGAGGCATAGGATTTCAACAACATCCAAATGAAGAATGAAAGAAGGTTGACTATTGATCTGTTACAACATGGTATTCTGAACCTTGCCCTCAGATCCCTGAGGATCTGAAATGTGAAATGTGAACATAACGTTATAAGGGCTCTCTTTGGCTTCAATTGCTCCATAGTCCTAATACTTAATTGAAGGATGATGGAGTTTGCAGTTCTGAAAAGCAATTCATCAAGCCTCTTATAATGGAATACAATATGCTGCTTTAAAAGAGAAATAAGATACAAATACAACAAAGGACCACTTTACAATGCCTTGGTAAGGCCACACATGGAATACTGCATCCAGTTTTGGTCACCACGATGTAAAAAAGATGTTGAGACTCTAGAAAGAGTACAGAGAAGAGTAACAAAGATGATTAGGGGACTGGAGGCTAAAACATATAAGGAAAGGCTGTTGGAATTGGGTATATCTAGTTTAATGAAGAGAAGGACGAGGGGTGACATGATAGCAGTGTTCCAATATCTCAGGGGCTGCCACAAAGAAGAGGGAGTCAAGCTGTTTTCCAAAGCGCCTGAAGGCAGGACAAGAAGCAACAGATGGAAACTAACCAAAGAGAGAAATAGCCTAGAACTAAGGAGAAACTTCCTGACAGTTAGAACAATTAGCCAGTGGAACAACCTGCCTCCAGAAGCGGTGAATGTTCCAACACTGGAAGTTTTTAAGAAGAAACTGGACAGCCATTTGTCCGAAATGGTATAGGCTTACCTGCCTGAGCAGCGGGTTGGACTTGATGACCTCCAAGGTCCCTTCCAACTTTATTATTATTATTATTATTATTATTATTATTATTATTATTATTATTATTGTTGTTGTTGTTGTTGTTGTTGTTGTTGTTGTTGTTGTTGTTGTTGTTGTTAAATATAAATATTTGCTTAAAAGCCAAGTCAGAGATCCTGAATCTTGACTTGATTTGGAACACCATATTTTGAGGGGGGGCGACATTTACGCCGCAAGACCTTTTTTTCACGTTCCTCCTTGCTTGTACTGACAATGGATTTTGGGCAGATGTTAATACAGCAGCCCAACTGTGGCTCTGATTAAGCTCCCACCCCATCCCGCCAGAAGCAAAGAACTTGGAAGGAGCGGCGAAAAGTTATTTTCACGGGGAGGAACTAGGATTTAAGATGTAGAGCCGCAGTACCGTTTCGGGGGCGTTGCAGAAACCTGCCGGGACTGGGCCAAAAAGCGAGCGGGGCCAGGAGAAACAAATTTTAATTTGAAAGTAATCATCATTTACCGATGCAGTAGCCAATACGATGACGTCCGTTTCCTCTTAAATAACGTTCAACACCCTAGTTGACGAATGCAGTCTCGTCCCTGGCTATTTGGAGAAGCTTACGTTTCCTTCTCTGCGTAAGATTCTCCGAAACCCCAACCCAGGGGTCTTCAAACGTGGCCCTTTTATGACTTGTGGACTTCAACTCCCAGAATTCCTCAGCCAGCAACGCTGGCTGAGGAATTCTGGGAGTTGAAGTCCACAAGTCATAAAAGGGCCACGTTTGAAGACCCCTGCCCTAATCCAATGCTTGTCTCTTTGCACCCCGCCTTGAGAAGTGTTTACAGGACGCGGAATGAACCTGAAGAAACGAGGGGCTCCCCGTTCCGAAGTGCGGCTGTGCCGGGAGTCCCACCTGTCAGACCGACTCGGAAGGTACGCAGAACTCCTTTGCAAACGCGCCGACCTGCCGATCTCCCCCCCGCTTTGCCTAAACTTGAGGGGCGGGGGGGAGAGAGAACGGGGAAATGAACGCAACGGCGGCCCTCGGCGAGGACAGGCGGCCTCCAGCAAAGGCTCGGCGCGCACACCTCGCGGCGGCCCCCCGCAGCCCGATCGCCTTTCTCCGCCTGAGCGCCGTTTGGGCGACGAGCTGGTGGGCGGAGGGCGGGGCGGGCCAGCCGAGGGGTTATAATGCCTCCCGAAGCCGGGGCGCAGCTGCCGAGGCTCGGGATTCAGCGTTCACGGCCATGGGCGGAAAGAAAGTTTGCATCGTGGGCTCCGGCAACTGGTGCGTTGAGCCGGGCCGAGCCGGGCCGGGCCGGGCCGAGCCGGGCCGGGCCGGGCCGGGCCGGCGAACGAGGGAAGGGGCGGCGAGAGAGCAGCGGTTCAGAAAAGGAAGGCGGCGTGGTGGGGGGGGGGTGTTGGGAATTGCTGGGGGCCGTCGTAAACTAGGGACCGGATCGCCAGAGCGACGAAGAGTTCTGTGGCGCCTTGAGGATGGCCGCATTTTGTTCGGGCGTAATCGCCTTTGGCGGACTAGCGTGGCCCTCCGTGCAAGCTGGGGAAATGGAGGCTGGGGAATATTTGTCTGGAGGGTGCCGCGGAGGAGCTCGCTTTTGCTGCGAGAGACGGAGGCGGTGACCCCCCCTGGGACTCCCTCTCTCTCGCCCGGCTGGATCTCGGTTATTTGTGCCCAGTAACCGAGAGACGGGCGTCTTCAGACATGCAGGCTGCAGATCTGTCTTAAGCAGTTCGAACTACGGGGAACACGGTGCAAGGGCTGCTCTCTTATCCCCTGGCCGCGGAAACATAAGCCCATAACGGGAGCTTTTTTCTTTTTCTTTTGCTGCTCTAGGGCATATGCCTTAGGTTTTGTGCGTTATGATGCTTATGGGTTGAATATCGCGGGATAAGATTCTCCTCTTTTTTTAAAAAAAATTCCCTGAAAAGAAGTTCTAGGTACAGCTTCAAGGCAGCACCGCTCCCGTTTGCGGTTTTAATGCATTCGTCCGTGTTCTAGGCTTGTGGTTCTATCCAGCAGAATTGGTTTTCCCCAACCCAGCGCCTTCCAAATACATCAGGGTCTTCTGGGTTGCAACTGCCCTCATCCTGGGTCAGCAGAGCCGCTGGCTTCACTGTCTTTATTCAGTATAGGGCAGTGCATTATTGAGCAGGTAGTTTTGCCACCAGGTAACCCTAATAAATCTTTTCTCACACAGTTGTAAAACAGAAGAGTCCTGAGAGTCTCTCAACGTCTGCTCATGAGGATACCTCTGTCTGGAGGAACTAAGTGTCATATCTGAGTGGCTTTGACGTTGCTGTCAAGTTGTATCCTCTCTGCCAGTTGTTCAGTCATGGCAGTCCAGCTGGATTAGCCTCTTCCCTGATTGCCCTTCAGTTCTGCCAAATTTTAGGTTCTGCACTCTTTAGTAAGCAGAGACAGGGGAAGATGAGCATTTAAATCCAGCCTGTCTCTCAAGCATCAAACAATCGGCAGTTCTCATTCTTCTCTCCCATTGACACAAATATATGTATGTGTAGAGTTGTGGAGATAGCCACTGTTTGTGTGAAGTTGTAGATAAAAAAATGTGTATCTGCTTTTGCTTGAAAACTCTCTCAAAAGTAGTACCGTAGAAAGTATATGCTTCCAGAGTCCTCCTCAATATAGCTGCTTGACATGAATGATTTGATGGGATGGATATAATAATAATAATAATAATAATAATAATAATAATAATAATAATAATAATAATAATAATAAAGTTGGATGGTACCTTGGAGGTCATCTAGTCCAACCCCCTGCTCAGGAAGGAAACCTTATACCATTTCAGACAAATGGCTGTCCAGTCTCTTCTTAATGACTTCCAGTGTTGGAGCATTCACCGTTTCTGGAGGCAGGTTGTTCCACTGGTTAATTGTTCTGTCAGGAAATTTCTCCCTAGTTCTAGCTTGCTTCTCTCCTTGATTAGTTTCCATCCGTTGCTTCTTGTCCTGCCCTCAGGTGCTTTGGAGAATAGCTTGACTCCCTCTTCTTTGTGGCAGCCCCTGAGATATTGGAACAGATATTGGAATATCTGTTTTTAATTTAGTTTTGAGCCCTTGGAGTTTTCTCCCTGTGTAGAGCTCTGCTGGTGTATTGCAGCAAAAAGAACGGAGACTTTTATGGCATCTGAAAAGCAAATGCACTTAATTATAACATTAAAATCCACTCCATCAGGTATATGACCTACTGGCTAAGGGGTCACCATTCATGGCCAAAGCAAGTTGTCACTAATTCATGAAATATTTGCTTTTTCTTAGTCTTGTTATTTCAATCTGGATCTGTTTTTTCATGCAAGAGCCACTCAAGCTGGTCACATGATTCCCAGCTGGCTTTGAGCATATTATTGCACACTGGGCCTCCCAGGCACTGCAGCACTTGCAAGTCCCTGCAGCCACAGCCAAAATAGATAGCTGGAAAGGCTGCTAGATGGAATGGTACCTCCAGTTGTGAAAAAGCTGAACTCTGAAAATAATCTCAGGGGGTCCAGTCTTTATGTTAGGGTCCCCTCCAAGCTGAGACCCTTGCTCAAATTCTGGTTTCACAATAGAAGAATGCGGGGGGGGGGGGAAGGTAGCCCCAGAAAGAAGGAGGCTTGCATCTCTGTCTCTCTTCCTGCTGCAGGGGTTCAGCAATTGCCAAGATTGTGGGCAGCAACGCAGCCAGACTGGATATGTTTGACACCACTGTGAAGATGTGGGTGTTTGAAGAGGAGATTGCTGGCCGGAAGCTCACCGAGATCATCAACACGCAGCATGAGAACGTCAAGTATTTGCCCGGCCATAAACTTCCGCCCAACGTGGTGGGTTTGGCACACTGGAGGGGCAGTCTTGGGGGGGGGGAACTGTGCCCTAAGCTAGAGCAAAGCATGGATTTTCTCTTGAAACCTGCTTTCAAATTAGAGCATCTCTGGGCAGCTTTTTATTTATATTTATTTTTATCTCACCGAAGGCATGGCGGTAGCTTCATGATGCCACCAAGGACAGCAGGATGGAATTTGGGGGCCATATTTTTCTGCTTTGAAAAACTGCAGGCATCCTGTCCCCCCCCTCCCCCCGTTCTTCCTGGCTTCCCTAAGTGCATTAACAATATCAGAAAACTCAGTACAAAGTTTTTCTTTTGTTTCCCCTACTAAAAATTGGTAGGAAATCGTGTTTTTGTTGCTTGGGAGATGCTGTATACAAAGGGCTTGAGGGCAGGAGTTATCACAAAACAAAATGTAATCCTGGGGGTTGGATGCTCAAGGTCAGTAATATAAAGCTTCTTTAAAAATTAAAAAGTTTTAAATTAAATTAAAAAAATGTATATCCCAATACTGCTCAGAATGGCTTACAACAGTGAAAAGTGAAGCATATAAAACATAAACATAAAAACAATATGCTTTTAAAAATTAAAATAAACCACAATTCCTTAATGAGGCTGAATGCCACGGGTGTGCATGCAGACATCCTGTTGTGCATAACTGACATTGGTTGGGGCATCTCCAGAACTGGGAAGCCTGGTCTTACATATAACCAAAAAGCTTGAAGGTGACGTGCTGTGAAATTGTCCACTTGATGTGTTTATACTTATATTATTGTATTATCCAGAACCTTAGGAAGGGGACTTTTACTATAGACCAGTGAACATGAGGCTCAGCCAGCCAATGGGATCTACTCAAACCATCATCAGTACCTTCAGGATTTCAGGCAGAGAGAGTAAAATCTTCAACCAATTCTCTGAGGAGATCCTGGGACTGAATAGAGAGCTTTGAGATTTAAAAGACATGTTCTATGAATTAGCCATGGCTTCACTGTACATAGTAGACTTCAGATTATCAGATGGACATCTGTGAGTGTATACCATCCTCCTTCCCTCTCAGCGATTTAACCATATCTCAAATTACTACTAGCTCTTGTTTAATTACGTGTCATTAATTACAGTCATTTTCGCAATGGCAAAACATGCCTTGTAGCTATTGCTGAGAAGTACAGTCATCCGCTCGAGTCTTATTCAGCAGTTGCACTGTACATAGAAAAATCTCTCTTTTTCAATGTCATCTATCCTATAATGGCTAAAGGAACAATTTGAGATATTCCCATCATCTTTAAAATAGACAAAATCCTGCTAAAGCTGCATAACTTTTAAACTCCGCATTTTGAGAGAAGAATCAAAACAGATGCTTAACCATCTCTTAGTTAACTGAAATCTGGGGAGCGTTCTTGGATCGGGCTGGAGTTTGGCCAGGGTCATGGATTTTCTCTCCCACTTAAAGATGAATAAGGGAATTTTTGCCAAAGCTTTTCAAGCCCTGGTGGCTTTTTGAAATCTTTTAGTCATTATAATGCAAAATATATAATAATAAATACAAAAGGGTGAAAGAGAGAGAGAGAGAGAGAGAGAGATTGATTGCAAGAAATTTCAGATGACTCAATATTGGTACGATTTTGTCATTTTTATTTCTAGATTATTTTAAATTCCTTTAAAATCAAGCTTTTGCACCCACAATACAAAGTTTTATGTTGCTGACGATCCTTGGTTTAAACAGAGCTGTTTTTAAAAACTTTTATCTGAATTTTACTTTTTTTATTTTGTTAGTTGCCCAGGCTTTAATATGGGAACATGCCACAGCCTTTAAGGTTTGGGAAGCTTCCACTAACCAATAATAGAAAATTGCTTAAGAAGGGAAAAAATGAAGTTAAACTACTTAGGAATATCAAAGTTTTTATTCTATCTACTTCATCTTCTCCAGTCTTCTGTGCCTTCTTAGTGTGTTGAACTATAGGTTCCATTAGTATACTGAAACTTTGGGGTAGGTTTTGTTTTATATTTTTTTCCGGGGTGTGTGCATGAACCTTTGAATCAGTCTTAACTGCTGACAACTGCCTGGAATTGTCCCTGCAGTTTTCTTGGCAAGGTTTTTCAGAAATGCTTTTCTTGGCTTCCTTTCTAGGCCTGAGGGAGAGAGACTGGCCCAAGGTCACGCAGCTTGTTTTGGGCCCAAGGCAGGACTAGAACTCACAGCCTGCCTCCCCCGTTGTCTAGTTTGGTATCTTAACCACTAGGCAGTTTGGTGCAGTGATTAAGATATCAGTCTAGAAACTGGGAGAGCATGAGTTCTAGTCCAACTTTAGGCACAAAACCAGCTGGGTGATTTTGAGCCACTCACTTTTTCTCAGCCCTAAGAAGGAGGCAATGGCAAACAATTTCTGAAATAACTTGCTAAGCAAACTACAGGATCTTGTCTAGGGAGTCTCCAAAATTTAGACATGTTCTTCTCTCGGGGCATCCTTGTTCACTTCTTCCGTGCCATTAAAAGGCTTCTGGTGAACTCCTACCAAAGGCTTATCTTCTGCAGTGAGGCCTTGGCTTTGCCAGGAGCATGGCCTTAGATGGCTAGCCCCATCATGGTTGTAACTTTAATAATAATAATGATGATGATAAAGTTGGAAGGGACCTTGGAGGTCATCTAGTCCAACCCCCTGCTTTCTCTAAAAGGAACCCATGTTGGGTCCTCACTTTCATTTTTGCAAGAGTCTGCAGAAAAAAGGACCCTCTCAGATTGCCTTTTGTGTTGTTGCTTTCATTCACTTCCTTTATACTTACAGCAGTTCTGCTTGACTTTTAATACGAGCTGGTTTTTGCTTCTTTTAATATTTTGCTTTATTAAGGTGAGTTGCAATTTCGTTAAAAATAACGAACAGAAATTTACAAATAACATTGAAATAAAAAAGATGTGCGTTATTGGTTACTAGTAATGGTATTTAACTTGTATGGATTGCATGACACACCCAAGGAGCCTGCTTTCTCTTCACCCACCCTGTCCCCATCCCAAAATCCTTTTATTATGCCTTGGCAATAGCAAAAGCACACTTGTGCTTCTTCTAGCAAAAGGAAGATCTGGGAAGATGTTGCCTTGGTAACAAAAGTAATAAATAAACCTGTCACTGCTTACCAATTAATTTTCCTGGTGTGTCAGGAAGCCCACTTGCAAGAAAGAGGAAGGCATTGCAATCTAAGCTTTTGCAACATTGTGCACCTGCTTTTCTGAGTGTTCCGGTCACGTGTTCTTATCATTGGTATTGACGAACTGGGGTAGAACATAAATATTGCATTCGGTTCTCAGGATCTCCAAGAAAGACTAGAAACTTTCCTGCCAGAAATGTTGGATAGCCAACATAGGTAATATTAAGCTAACAGACTGGATCTGTTGGTGGTAATAAATGTTACCAGTGAGATAGATGGATCAGTAGAGGACATCAGGTTAGGAAGGGCAAACACAGGAAAGGATCTTCCATTCTTCCTATTTCTTAAGTTGGATTTGCACCCTAGGATTCCTTTTAGCAACCCAGTAACATGCCTCTGAAAGCTCTCCAGCCTATCAGTATTCTTTCCTAGCTTGGGAGACAGAACCGGCTGGAATGGACTTCATGTCGGATTTGTCCTAGAATTCCAGCATGCCATCATTGCTAGCAATCTGGATAAAATGGTCTGGCAACTAAGCTCCTGAAAGGTGTTGCAGACGATGTGGCCTCCAACATTGCCTGTATTCTTCTATGGGACCAATTTCTATTGGGACTCAGTCTTTGGGATGATAGGACCAGGATGCTGTGGCTTTCGAGGAGGATCAGGCTAAGAAACAAGTGTCTTGCATTTATGGTCTTCCAATGTGTGAGCAAAAACATAATCCAGTGGAACTGCTTTCTGGCTTGAGGCTTTCAATTTTGTAGAGCTCCCTGCTATTCATTACAATGACAGATAGACACATAATAACTGCAGGCAAGCTGCGTAAATATATTTGCATCATTTCTGCAGGCCAGCATTCAAAAATAATACAGTAGAGCAGGCATGCCAAACTGCCGGCCCACGGGCCAGATGCATCACGCCGAAACCGTGCCTGCCCCATTGCCGGCAATGGGGAAAAAATCCCGATACGTAGCATGATATCATGTGATGTCGCGAGTTTGACATGCCTACAGTAGAGGGTTTCACGAATATATTGAGCATATGCAAGTGTCCTCCAGATGAGCCCATTTTTAGTTCCCTCTCTTTACATCTGAATGAAAACAAAGAGTTCCCTCCTGGGCCTACAAGCTGACTTCTTTTTCCTGGCTCCTTGATTGCTGCAGGTGGCTGTGCCTGATGTATTAAAAGCTTCCACTGATGCAGACATCCTCATTTTTGTGGTGCCCCATCAATTCATCGGGAAGCTCTGTGAACAGATGAAGGGACATATCAAGAAAGAAGCAATAGGCATCTCGCTCATCAAGGTGTGAGTGTGGCTGGGGGCAGGGTTGGGGGATAAGCTGGTATGACCTTTTAAAGGAGTAATGACCAGGCTTTTCTGGGAGGACATTTCACCACCATGTGAATGGAAAAAAAGAGGGAGATACCTGCAGTTACACATAGTTCAGTAAGGATGCTCTTTTATTAGAGAGCTTGACTTGACTACATGGTTCTGTCCTGAGCTCTGATCTCCAGTTCACGAAGGAACCATGAAGTTCCTTCACCTCTCTGAGCATCCGGCAAAGACACAGTCCTCTCAGTAAAATGCCTTTTATTTTAATTCCTTCACACGGAAAGGAAGAATGGCTAGATCTAGAACCATTTCTGCAGTCGCTCTCCTCTCCATTGTTACATTGGTGACAATCACATGGTTAAACAGGGGAGTGGCTAATTTGTTTTAATGATTTCATTTTATTGATTTAAAACATTTCTATTCTGTTATGCTGGTGTGTGTCTCCTGCCAGTTAGATTAATTAGATTGTATTTAAATGCAATAACATAAAGACGCTGTTCCAGAAACTATTCAGCTAGTCTACCATGAGTTCTGAAATGCCAAGGCAGATGAAAATATTTTCATCATACTGAGTTGGTGCAACATGTAGTTTTGGAAATGAATAGTAGAGATAACCTGAAAACTCAAATTTAAAGGAACCATCCCTTTACAATTAATCAGAAAAGCCATTATTGTTTCTCAGCAGTCACTTATCCATATCAATTAATGGATGGCTCAAATCTGTCTCCTTTATTCTTTTCCAGTGGGTTTATTATAGTATATGCTGTATATCGGGGCTTTTCAACCTTTTCACCCATTGTACCACTTCTAGGAGATAGCAGTATCCGAGTACCACCAGTCGCCTAGCAAGGTGTCAAAAACTTGATGACCAAAAAAAAAAAAAAAGGAAAAAAGTGATAAAGTACAGGTAGTCCTCGACTTACAACAGTTCGCTTAGTGACTGTTCGAAGTTACAATTGCACTGAAAAAAGTGTCCCCCAAGCCACAGCCGAGCAAGACACCTGCCTGCCCGCCCGGTGGCGCTCTTCCTCCTGTCCGAGGTTTTCATTGTGAGCATTTCTGTTGAGGATTGGCGGTGGGGTGGGGGGTGTTTAGTTTTTATTCCCCCCGTCTGCTGGGTGGTTGCAGCAGGTTTTGGTCACTTCACATGACCCTGGGACACTGTCATAAATATGAATCAGTTGCCAAGCATCTGAATGTAAATCACAAGACCCTGGAGAGGCTGCAACATTCCAGCTGATCGGCGCTTCTTCTGGGCTCAGCAGAAGTGCCAGGATCAGCTGGAGCCTGGCGCTGATCCTGGCGCTTCTGCTGAGCCCTGACAGCCCTGCAGCTCCAGCCATCTCTCGCTCAGGCTTGTGCGGTGCTGCCACCGGTTCAGCTCATTCCCCTCCCCCACTACCACTTTTCTAGGATGTTCGCGTACCACCTGCCAGGTGCCAATGTACCATAGATGGTACCCGTACCACTGCTTGAAAAGCCTTGCTGTATATTATATTCTTTATAAGCAGTCATACCGACATAGTCAAAGAGTGCAAAAGTTCTGAACAGTGAGATCAAGTGGCCACAGATGTGAAAAGGGCAATCTGTTTCATGCAGAGCGAGGGTCTACTTGTGATATTTAGTGGCATCCTAATGATTTTAGCAAATGATATGATTGCAAGAATTGAACTGCCTTTACAATCCTACATTAACGGAGTGCCTAGCAATGTACTTAAGTCCTGAATCCCATTACTGAAGCGGCACTGAGTTCAGTCAAGCAGGACTATTACAAAGTCCCTTAGTCAAGTTAATTGATCTGACATCCCTTGCAGGGTGTGGACGAAGGTCCTGATGGGCTGAAGCTGATCTCAGACATCATCCGTGAGCAGCTAAGCATTGAAATGAGTGTGCTGATGGGAGCCAATATAGCCAATGAAGTGGCAGATGAGAAGTTCTGTGAGACCACCATTGGTAATGGACTTGAGCTTATGATTCATATGGAAACCTAGAGGCAAGCTGGAGATCAGTTCTCTAGATATGTACTTTAATTTTATGCTACGTTCATAGGATGTTCCTCCACCTTTCCTTTCCTTGCTAACTTTAGTATTTGGACACTGCAGTTCCACCCAGACATATTACTGCCTGCTGCTGGGGAAATAAGGTGGCCACATAGTATCCCATATATTAACGATGTACTTTTAAATCTTCCATTGAGATGGCACTAGTTCCACCTCTCCTGCTGTGGGTAAGTGGTAAGGAGAAAAATGTCATGCAGGACAGGGGAAACCACCTTGCACAGTTTCATAAAGCACTTTTCTCCTAGTAGAGAAGATCTGCACCAGCTGAGCCAACAGATGAACAAGGAACACACAGAATGTTCCCCATGGTCTAATGGTTTGCTTTGCTTTCTTAAAGGGAAAGGAACCAGGTATAATTCAAATAAAGAGACATTACCAGGCTAGTAGTGAAAATAGAGATAGTCTTCTCTCAAGACCCGTTAGAGGCTGGGTCTACGTTAGATTACACCTGCAACCTAGAGAGATCCCCCATTCTTGCTGAGGCATAGTTGGGAGCTGTACAGAGATTCGCTTCCACTCCCCTGTCACTCATCTTCCTGCTCATTTTCTCTGGTACGCAGGCATCCAGATAATGTCGCATAGCAGCTAGAAAGCAAATGACAGCAACAGGTTGGAAACTGAACAGCCCTGGCCACCTTCTCTCTTACTACATATCTGATATCAAGGGAAGGCGGTAGTAATATGAGACCCATCCATGAGACCTTGCACTGCTGCATACATAATTTCCAGAACCAGTTTGATCACATTGGAGATCCTGTTGTAAAAAGGAAATACCAAGGCACCACAGTGCAAGGCAATGCAATACAATTTTCAGACTGATATTTAGGCTGGTTGCAGCTCCCCCTCCCCCAACAAGGATTTCTAGCACTTTCAGGATTAACAAAGATTCATTGTTGACCCAAATGCCCTTCTGCTGAACCATTCACCACTACAAAGCAAACGTTGATATGTGTCTGGATATTCTCCTATTTCTCTTCTTGAGAGGTTAATTTCCCACAGTATCTTTTAGTCTATCATAGGGGTCTTCAAACTTGGCCCTTTTATGACTTGTGGACTTCAATTCCCAGAATTCCTCAGCAGAATTCTGGGAGTTGAAGTTCACAAGTCATAAAAGGGCCAAGTTTGAAGACCCCCTGGTCTAACAGATCAGTTTGTTTGGTGTAAGGGAGGAAACCAGTGCAGAAATCAGTGGCTAACATCATTTTGATTGCATGTTTCACTAGCTCATCAGCTGGCTTTGAATGGTGTCGAGGAATTCATTGCTGCATTTCAAATTCTGTTATTGGTAAATATCATTATTTCAAAGCAGCCTTAATCATCCAAGATGTCTTTATCTGTTTATGACTCTATTCTGCCCCCACCTTTCCTTGGGTCTCAGGGACTCAACAGCATTTCTCTCTACTATTCTGACTGCTGACAGTTTCCAAGGGACAAACCAGGCTTAATGATAGAGCAAAGCTCCAACTTCAACATGCCACTATGTAACTGTGCTTTCCCGCTTGTTTGGGGGAACTATGTACATGTGATCAGCCGAGCCTTGACTGCCATTGGTAAATCCCACCCTATTTTTCTGTAGCATTGTCTTGTCTTCCAGGGTTGCTTTTGGTTTACTTAGGATGTTTTGCAGGGCTTTAGTTGGGTTGTGTGCTACGGTGATGCCATGTGGTTGTTATTGTCTGTTGGTGGTTTCTGAGATGGGTTTTTTTTTTTTATGAATGGCAATGTTATACTTTTCACCACTTGTGTTGTTTGTGCTATATTGGATTGAGTGGTCAGTATCAGAAACGAGTATCCATTTTATTGGAAGACATTGTATATCTATTTCTGTACATCACAACCAACACAAGGATGATGTGGAAAGGATAAAGCCCTCCAAAACATCCTAAGTAAACCAAAAGACCAGCAGCCCCCACAAGAAAAGGCAGGAGTCTACAACATACAGTTAAGAACTGTAAAAGCCACTATGTAGGACCAACATGCAGAAGACTAGCAGAGCGCATCCATGAACACCAATTAGCAGTTAGAATACATGATGAAAACTCCTTAATATCATAACATATATGGATGGACTTAACCATAGTTTCAATTGGGAAACAGTAAGCATCCTGGATCAAGCCAAATCCAAAAATGCTAGGGAATTCCTGGAAGCCTGGCACTCAAACAAATCAGCCACATCAATAGGCACATAAAGAACATCTATGTATCAGCTGGCTTGGGTCTCCAATGGGAGAGTAACACGCTGGAGGTGGTTGATACATTAAAAATAGCTCCCTCCTCCCCTCATCCTACTCCTGCCCTCCTGATCTGTTAATTGGGGTGCAGTATTTGGATCCTCACAGTATTTTATCTTTATTTTTTAGCTTTTGTATAGTTTTTATCTTTTTTAAGATTGTAAGCCACCAAGAGTAACTTTGCGGTAAGAGGGGTGGCCAATCAATTTTACAAATAAATCAATAAACAAAGCTCCTGCTTCTTTTAGGCTGCAAGAACGTACAGCATGGACAGATTCTGAAGGAACTGATGCAAACGCCCAACTTCCGAATCACGGTGGTACAGGAAGCAGACACAGTAGAGATCTGTGGTGCCCTCAAGGTATAGGTATTAATTTCCCCCTTCTGGGGACAGAGGAATGGCCAGAAGCAATCTCAAACTACCATTCAGGACGAGTTTGGTTAAGGCCACTATTTTTTCTACCATGCCTGGAGATGGTAGGGGAAGATGCAAGATTAACTAGAATGTGGGGTTCTCAAGCACAATGTCATCACAGTGGGTTCATTTGCGATTTTACTTTGGCCACCAAAGGCTGCTGTGTTGAATTGATTTGCAATACTAGTTAAGTGCCAAAGCTTTCTGCTTATCAACATTTGTGTCCCTTCTTTCTCCCAGAATGTGGTGGCTGTTGGAGCTGGGTTCTGTGATGGGTTGGGCTTTGGAGACAACACCAAGGCGGCTGTCATCCGTCTGGGCCTGATGGAGATGATTGCCTTTGCCAAGCTCTTTTGCAAGGGCCCTGTCACTTCTTCCACCTTCCTGGAGAGCTGTGGGATTGCTGATCTAATTACCACCTGCTATGGAGGCCGTAACCGTAAAGTAGCCGAGGCGTTTGCCAAGACTGGCAAGGTAAGCAAGCCATCAAGGTCGTTTTATGATTCAGTGGTAAGATACGACTATATAAGTCATCGTTTCTGGAATAAAACTCTGTTGGCTGAGTCCACCCCAAAATTTCTGAGGCAGCAATTGTATCAGGGAATGATTGCTGGTAAACACGGCAAGATTTACTTGGACTTTTGACACAATTCCTCGCACACCTCCTTATGTTCACTGCCACCTTTCCAGGTGTCCTCACACCCTGATTTCTGTTAGGATGGCAGGGGGCCAATCAATTCCTCCCACAAACTTTTCTTTTCTCTTTGGAATGACTGTACTAGTGTGGCCTGGCTTGTGGGGACAGATGCATTAACCTAGTTGAGTCGTTTCACCAAGTGCAGCAACATCTCAGAGGATCAGCCCCTGACTAGGAACAGGCCCATTTCTAAATGGGGCCTTTGAGGGATGACCTTATAATCTGTACCCAGAATGTCATACCTTGATCAAACAGCAATGTTGGAAAAAATAGTTGAGGCTCTTGAGGGCTTTCCCTAACTTTGGGGAAAGGCATGGTGAAATCATGGCATAATTGTTCAGCTCAGTCAAAAATGAAATACTATATGAAAGGAACAACTGGAATTATTGGGAGGTAGAAATGCACAATGGGAAACAAAAGGAACTTGAAAACATTATCTGGAATTGAAGAGCTTTGGGTTGAAGGGCATGAAGGACAGGAAGGATATACTATAACAGCTGAGAACAGCTCAACAGATTCCAGTTAGGTAGGTAGGTAGGCAGGCAGATAGATATATGTATGAAACTCAGTGGCTGCCAAAGAGAGTAATCATGGCTGAAATGGAGATTTTTCTCCCTTGCAGCTTGCAAGTATTTATTGAGAATAATTCAGAAAGAGATTCATATTGCAGTATATGCTCTGCAAAAATATTGATGCATTTTGCCAAAGGCGTTGGAAATATATACTTAATTGTGGCAGTGTTCGTTCTGATTGCAACATTGAGGATTTCACAAAAACTAGAATTTATGTCAAGTATGAATTGCAAAGGTCAAGGCCTGGAACTGGATTGCAAGGTCAATAACATTTGGCTTCAAGAAGCCTGGCATCAGAAGTGGCTTAAAAGCACAGAAAGAGTAAACATCTTTTGTTTCACGCAGCAAGGCTGTTTGTGAATCAATATGTGGTGACACATCGTCAGCTTCTTTGCAGTGCTGCAGAAGTTGGAAAGAATCTTTCAGATGGCATAGAGCAGGGGTAGGCAACCTCGGCTCTTTTATGACTCGTGGACACCAACTCCCAGAATTCCTAGGAGCATAGCTGACTCAGGAATTCTGGGAGTTGAAGTCCATGAGTCATAAAAGAGCTGAGGTTGCCTACCCCTGGCATAGAGGGTCTTCTGCAATATTGTGAGAAAGGAATCCTGTATCATGTCTCCTGAAACTATAGTACAACTTAAGTTCATCCTCTTTGAGCTGGCTCAAAACAAGAAGTAATTCTAAACCCCAGCCATGGAGAGCATTGGCTAATTTCATCAATATTATTTTTTAAACTCCAAAATAGAAATATTGATCTGCTATAAAGCAACAATGTGCAATCTCTCGGTGGCTGGAGACCACATGTATTAATTTTTGAGGAGAAAGGAGATGAGGAGATGAGGATGAGGCTAGTAGGGGTAAATTATGCATTTAGGTGGGAGTGGGATTTTCTTTTTTACTATGCCTCCATATTTAAATTATATTAAAACTATTTTAGGATGATGTTGCAATTTTCATGGTTACTATGCAGGGACTGGGGCGGTGGCGTACATGAGGCAAATGGTATTTATGGTTCTATGCAACCTTGACTTTTAGGTTGACAACTCTAAGAAGAGTTATTATCCATTAATGTTTGTCTTATGTTGCACTACTGCTGTGACTTTTCACAAACAATCCTGGGAATCGTGGTCACTAAATATGCCAAAACCTGTACTCTAGTGCTCTCTAGATCAGGGCTTTTCAAATTTGGCAACTTTAAGACCTGTGAACTTCAACTCCAAGGAATTCTGGGAGTTGAAATCCACCAGTCTTAAAGTTGCCAAATTTAGACACCCCTGATCTGGATCATACATGCAAGCACACTTTTTGATTATTAAACCAAAGGCTGCAGGACGCCCTAAGGAGAGATGAAGACATGTGGAGTTTAGATTTGTCGAAGGCCAGAGAAGCCACTGTAAATTTTTCCTTTAGGGAATCACTAAGAAAGGCTCAATAAAAGCTACTTGGAATATCCAGACCATCACTCACAAGTAGGGCTTTGTCTTATATTTTATTAATTTGATTTATTTCACAGTCTATCGAGCAACTGGAAAATGAGATGCTCCATGGACAGAAACTGCAGGGTCCTCAGACATCAGCAGAGCTGCATCACATTCTGAAGCACAGGAATCTGACGGACAAGTGAGTTCAGTAGCCTTTCTTCCCATTTCACTTGGCATCAATATCTGGGCTATGCTGACACCCTGCAAATTTGTGTTACGGTTCGTAAGAGTGGCTGGCTAGTTCGTAGAACGGTTAGGCAGTTAAATAACGTGTGACTAGCAACTACCAGCTATTTAGTTGATTAGTCGATCGTTCAGGATATTAGCATTAGATTACAGATATGCAGACTATCTTGATTAATAATCAAAAGTTACTATTTCTATATAGAAGGAAATGCCATCCTGGTTTATTTACTATAACTGTATTTACCTGAAAGAAAGTCTAGTCCCCTCCCCCCAAATAACTTTGTAATGAAAAAATAATTTTGTTCTTTCAGTCTGGCCTTTCTTCTGGGGTGGAACATTTAAGAAAGGTTCTCTTTTGGTCTGTTTTTAATAATTTTTCTTCACTTTGTTACCCGATCTTTTCCCTCGCAGATTCCCACTCTTCACTGCTGTCTATGAGATCTGCTACAAAAACAAGCCTGTTTCTGAGTTCATTACATGTCTTCAGGACCACCCTGAGCATTTGTGACTGCCTTTAACTTCTCTCCAGCAAGGAGTAGAAAGATCTCTCCCTACCAACTTCACGACTGCCACCCCAAGAAGGGAAAAGAACCAACACAGACCATGGCAGTCCAAAGCAAAGCATGGTTGCAAGGCATCCAGTGCTCACCAGCCATAGAACTCTGGATCAAAGGAGGAGATTTCTGTCCTTTACCAGGCCCGACTTCTGTATCTGCTGAATTGTCCAGGCTTACAATCCTGCCTGTCCCATTAGCTCTCACTTCTTGTTAGAGTAACCCCCCACCCTTCCTCTTGTAATATCTACAGCAGCCAAAGCTTTGGCTTTTGTCTTCTCTTAAAGAAACGTTTCCTTGCGCTGCCTCATCTCTGTTCCATTTCTCTGACCTGAGTCTAACAGGGTTCAAACTAGATTCTTGATAGTTTGCGCCTCAGATCAGAAGTACTGTACCAGCCATATTTTAACACTAATTTCAGGGTTCTTTTCTCAAGACCAGGCAAGATCTCAGCATTCTTGATATCCATAGCTATGGGAAAGATTGTCGTGAATGTGAATCTTGTTATTTTGGAGAATAAATCTTAAAATGAGAAATGTTTGATTGATGGCCTCTGGATTATATACAGGCCAAGACTGAGGGAATGATACTGAAATATCCACAGCATGGATTTTGAAAGGACAAGAGGAAGAATCAATATAGAAGGAACACTTCAGCATTAGAATTGTAGTTCATCTTTATACAGGTGCTCAAACTGTCTTTTATACGAAAAATGGGAAAGTGAAGGAAAGGCATTTGGCAAGTTAATGGGTGTCCTCTTCAGTGAGCATGTGAAAATAGCCCTAACATGTATTTCTGGAGGCTGAAATCACATATACATACATACATACCTTTGAGAATGTCCTATTAAATACAGTAAGTCTTAAAAATGTACTGTACTTATACTTTCTTCACTTGGTAGCACCCAGTATCAGGGATCTTCTGAAATACTGTAGTTAATCAAAAGGGTAATGCGCTTCCTTCAGAGATTTCCTGACACTTTCCTTCTTTCTCTACTTCCTATAAAATGGAGATTGTCATGATTCCAAGATCAGAACAAAAGAGAACATGAACTCCCTGGATACTTCCTGTTCTGCTAACTTTGTGCCAGAAAAGTTCTCAAGGCAGAAGCTTTTAGGCTCCAGAGTTGGCACTGGAGAGTAGAAGGTGGATTTCCTAATGGCAGAATGCTTTCCTACCATTTTTGCTAGATGTCTTTCCTCTTTCTGAAGTGACCTTTCCAGTCCTGCCTGTCTCCCCACAGCAATTTAATCTGCTGATGGGGCAGAAGTCATGCCTTTTATTAGACACCCAAGACGCTCTTTGACCTTTCTAATCAGTCAGTTAAAAAAATTAAATTAAAGGGGAGGGGGGAGAATATTTGTGGCCTCATATTTTCTGCCACAGTGGATTCATACGATTCACAGGACTTCATGAATTCATACGATTCTAGGGACTTCTCTAGAGTGACTGTAATTGAAAGCACAATTAATATATATTTTTGTATATTAAATTCTACCCATCCCCAGGGAGAATCAGGTAAAAACCCTGTACATGAGGGTATGAAACAATATAACATCATGCTATGAGAACTTAAGGGAATTTGGATTATATATACCATTCTCCAAAGAGCTCCAAAGAGCCATAACCATGCTGGAGGGACTTCTTCCAATTTATCCTCAGTGTTATGTCAAAAAGTATTCCTTTTCCCCCCATGAAAAAACAACAGTCAAGGTAATTAGTTTGAGGAGAACCTCCTGCCAAATGAAGAAATTTCAGCCATGCTTTTCAGCAAGATGGTCCACAGAGGACCAGCCTAGGGCATTCTTAATTTCAGCCTGTTTTCTTTCTTTCTTTCTTTCTTTCTTTCTTTCTTTCTTTCTTTCTTTCTTTCTTTCTTTCTTTCTTTCTTTCTTTCTTTCTTTCTTTCTTTCTTTCTTTCTTCTGGTTTAGCAAAAGAGCAAAGCACACTTCTGCATAACATTTTTGTAGGGAACCACTAGGTGACCTCCCACATCTAGAACAAACACAGCCTTGGTGAATCATTTTTCCAAATGGCATTTAAAAGCAGGTCTTGGCAATGTATTTATTATGCAGCTCAGAAAACATATATGGGATTTTCACAGAACCATAAAACAGTCCTTGCCCAAAGAGGTTTTTTATCAAAATTTCAAAAATACCAAATGGAAGACATGTGCTTCTATTCTTTAACAAAATAGACATTTTTTTATATACCAAATTTCTCCCTGCATGCCAACTGTACTTGGGTCTTCGGGTAGGTACTGAAGAATATTGGAGCCAATTAGCTTATGAAATATGAACAACCAAATATCCTTTTTATATGGAACTTGAACAACTAGGTTATTATTCAAAGGAAGTAGCCTAAAACATATCTCAAGTGAAAATACCATTTCTACGCTGGCTTCAGTGTAGACATCAACAAGATTAATATTTGTAACTTTAGCTATATATCGTCCAGAATCTGACCTTCCTGAACATTATAGAATACACAAAACAATGTGTGAATTTCTTTTCAAATGGCAAAATCATTTAATTAGGTATCTCAGGCTTTAGACAATATAGAAATATGTGACTGGCTGTTAATGTCTATAATATTTCCAAACATGCTCACAAATGACTTATCCAATTGATGTTTGTTATTATATTTGTCTTGAACAAGGCACCAAGGATATCATACAAGTATTTAGGGTGGTCAGTTGGAAAGGGATCTCTCTACTACTGTAAAACTATCTATGTAGAACAAGGATTTAAGATGTAAGTATATGTTTTTGAACCACTCAATGATACGTTCCCAAATTCTTTTAGAATTGGCTGCTATGAAAGCTATAGGAGATTTGCCTTTTAATCTGACAATTCTAACTGGCTTTCAGTTGTAACAGTAGTTGGAGAAAAATTATCTTAATGCTGACCACAGCTGAGAAATAACATTTACTTAAGAGAGATGATGAACTGCCCAACCTGAGAAAGCTGTGCTCTGAAATACTCCTAGGTCTAGATGGCAATTCTCCTGCCCTTTGCTGTTGCTATAAAAAGTCTTCCCTTTGCTATTTGGAAGTATGTTCTGCCAGCACAGCAGTCTGTTAAGGACTGTTCTCAGTCTTGAAAAAAAACGGACAGTGTAAGCTAGACAATCCAGTATTTGTTGGACTTGGAAGGATAAAGGCAGCAGAGTTAGATCCCGTCCTTAAAGAAGCAGGCAGTTCTCAGAATCTGCAAATGATTGTTTAGTCAGGCAAAAACTGCATCACAAGACTACATATTTTTAGAATGTGTGGATCTGTTTAATGAAAAACAGTGTTGAGAAGACAAAATTACCCTGTCTCACTGTTTCCAAGGGGAAGAATAAGTAAAATTGACTTTAAAAGAAAGCATCATGCTAGAACAGATCCAGAGAAGTGTGCGTAAACAAGCATAAATAGATCTTGTTCTCTGTCATCATGTAATTAAAATCCTTATACTTCCATAACAATTCCTTGGTGACAGAAGTGAGATAATAATAATAGTAATCATCATCATCATCATCATCAAGTTGGAAGGGAACTTGGAGGTCATCTAGTCCAACCCCCTGCTCAGGCAGGAAACCCTATACCATTTCAGACAAATGGCTGTACAGTCTCTTCTTAAAAACTTCCAGTGTTGGAGCATTCACCACTTCTGGAGGCAGGTTGTTCCACTGGTTAATTGTTCTAACTGTCAGGAAGTTTCTCCTTAGTTCTAGGCTGCTTCTCTCCTTGGTTATTTTCCATCCGTTGCTTCTTGTCCTGCCTTCAGGCGCCTTGGAAAATAGCTTGACTCCCTCTTCTTTGTGGCAGCCCCCTAATTAATACAAGCCACATAAGCAAAACTACATGCTCCCAATTATGAATGTAGACTTTAAGTTTTTGAGATGTAGTAAGTATCCCTCAGTCCTATGCGTATAATTTCAAGACTTCTTCCAAGTAGACATACATGGGATTTAGAAAGAGATGGGGGTCCAGAGACGGGTTTTTGCAGCAAAGTATGTTAACAATCTTCTTTCCAAACCACCATACCCCTTTCATTTATGTCACTGAGCTGAAAGGTTATGCCTCTCAGCTGCTAGAGGTCTATTGAATGACTCTGGGTTGGCAAAAAAAATAATAAACTTTTTAGGGTAGCTAAAGGTAGTCCTTGCTTAACAATGATAACTGGGACCAGAAATTCCATCCCCTAAGCAATGTGGTTATAAAGTGTGAGGTCACACAATCACATTGTTTAGCAACAGCAAACCTGGCATGCCCCTTGTGTTGCTTGAACAAGACGATCCTCATAACTTTCAACAAGCAAAATCAAAGGGGAAGCCTGTGGGAAACTGCAAGTCCCAGGTGGCTTGCAAGCAGGCCAGTGGGCAGATAGGTAGCTGCTGCAAGGTGAGGGAGCATACAGAGAGGAAAGATTCAAAGATTCAATAAAGAAAAGTACCAGGAATAGGATATCATAAAAATTACAAGTAAATTATGTACAAATGATGATTGTGTGACTGTGGGACACTCTGGATATCATAGATACACACGGGTTGCCAAATATCCATATCATGTGACTACTGTGACACTACGACAACTGCAACTTCAAGGATCAGTCATAAATCTCTTTTTTTCAGAGCTGTCATAACTTTGAATAATCACCGAACAAGTGGTTTGCAAGCAAGGACTATTTGTACTGACTTTGCAAATAAAATGAGTTTCAATACATTTTTGGAATAGGAGGTAGCACTAAGTTCATTTTATTAAACTATTTCAGCTCTTCCTTTATAATGCAATGCAAAAGTACAGTTAAGCCCTTGTGGTTACAATGGGGCTGGCTACTAGATAATGGGAGACAAGGTGTCAGATGTGACATACTCTCTTGCTGTTAATTGCTGTCAAAACTTGGTAGCCCTATGGGTAATTATTTCTACAATGACATCTATCACCTTGTTGGTCTTCCTTTTTTGCATTTTCTAAACACAATATCTTTCTCTAACAACCTTTCCTTTTGCATCATGTGTCCAAAACAGAAAAATTATAGCATTGTTATATGTTTAAGCCTGATTTCCTCCAATAAAGTTTGATTTGTTCACCAGCAGACAATGGTACCCACTGCGCCCTTCACCAGCAAGTAATTCCGAAGAATTGATTTTATTGCTAACTTATTTCTTCACTGTCCAACTTAAGACAGTGGCACCTCATGTCTAATTTTGCTGTTATCAAGATTTCCTCAGTATATTATTAATTTCTAGAGATGTGACAGTATTAGACTGTTGTAACAAAAAACATTCTTGGAATATTCAGCTTTCACTTAAAAAGTTCTTGTAACTCTTCTACTTTTATATTATTCCTAGTGCTTTAAGATTGTAGTGCGTGAAGATTGTACTAATGTAAATAGCATCAAATGTTTCCCAACCCCATTAAAGATAAGTCACAATATTAATACATTTTAAGGTAGTGCATTTTCCACATATCTTAACCATATCCCATCATAAGCAAAAGGAGTGGTCTAGACTCTTAAGGCATGGCTTAAATGATGTCGTTTTGCTCACAGGAGGATAGCAGCCAGAATATTAAATATGAAATAACTATTAAAATTCACTCTTAAGGCTCAGTCGGAAGTGGCTCGGAAGAAACAGAGCAACTTATTTCCACCGAAAACTTCACACCCGCCACATGATGGCAACAAAGCGTTTCTTATGTCCTTGCAGCATCCGGATTTTTGCAGCCCCAACACGGACAGTAGCCGTAATCCTATTACTGAGTGACACCAGGAAAATCCACAAGTAACCGTAAAAATATCATGGCAATAGCATCCGTTTTATTTTAATATAAACGTGAACCAACTATTCACACCTCAGTTACAGTGGCGATGAGTGCACTGTTG